CCCCCCCCCCCCCCCCCCCCCCCCCCCCCCCCCCCCCCCCCCCCCCCCCCCCCCCCCCCCCCCCTTCTAGCTGAAAAATGTTTTGTGTTGTAATAGAAAATGTGTGTTTTCTCTTGTTATATTATTCTTTTTATAAATTAAAAGCAATCAACTCATCGAAGAGAAAAAAAACTCATGCCAACTACACTAAACTTTGTTTAGTACTATTAGATGCTTGTTGTGCAATACGAGCAAACAGAATAGTATGGTATCTGTGATGATGACAAATCTATTTGCTCTTGTCTTTAGCGGTGTTTTGAAACCTTTTTAAATTGTAACAACCGTTCCCTACGAGAAATTTTGTTGATCAGTCGCTGTTGTTCATGTTTCTTTTAGGCACATTCTCTGTAAACTAGCTCCGCAGTAGAAGGGAGGATTTGTGAATAGTTTCTTAAAATCTGTCAATAAAGCACAGAATTCTGAATCATTGTTTCATCCATAAAGTAAGTTGAGAATGCTTAAGAAACATTATATAGCACATTCTTGGTGAAATTGCTGCGGTGCACATCTGCACTGGAAGCTTGCCGTATTGCGTAGTTCTGCTTTCTTGAAAAGTTTAACTGTTATTCTGGTATGTCGTGCGCATATTTAACATATGATGATAATTTGATTTATAGAAAGTTTCTTTCTTGCAAGAGTTTTTTTCTGGCTTATGTTAGACCTTTTTGGCAGTGGGTGAGTAGATGCCATGAGAAACTTTCTTACTAATTTTTCATGAAATAAGAATGCAAACTTGCGAGCCCGAAGTACTTACAACAATGCTTGGATCACACAGTAGGAAAAGTCGAAATTTCTATCGTGCTTAGGTATGTAATACTTACTATAGAGAACAAAATGGTACATCATGCTTAGTTCAAGAATTTTTGATCCTCAGTATGATGTTTGAAGACTTTTTGTCTTCTTGGATTATTCTCCTGCAGTGAAACCAGATGCAACGGTGCACAGAAAAAATACTTCGTTCGAAAATTAAAGTTTTGAATTGAACGAACAGTGAACAGGTTATAAATCAGCAGCAGCAGCAGAAGTCTTCGAACAGCCTCACCTTATAGATAAAAAAAGCAGTAAACTCGTTTGACAGTTTTCTTATTCATGCGCTAAGCTATATTCTTTGCACATTATCTCATTTTGTAATAAACTGAATCTCGTTTATACCTAAAAACGCTCTTTACTACTGAAAAACCGAATTTTCCACCCGCACACGCTAGTATATGTGTAGTCTGAGCTTCGCATATGCACCATTAGCTTTCCCTCATCGAGATCTATTAGATGGTATGCCATACTGATACGTTTCTACCCTTAGCAAACGTTTTTAGAACGATGACCTCGAGGATTATAGTGGTTCTCGAAAACATCCAATATCTCGACCATCTTAATGGCAGTAATTGACGAGAAATTTTTCTGGCAATCTTCTCATGTACTACAACAAAGTGTACGAGTTAGATTTCTTTTAATCATAAATTTTCTTTTGCTTACTTTTTTCCTCAAACGGTACAATAAAATTGCAAATCGTCCCTATGTATTTCAATCAACAACATTTTGCAAGAAACAGCATGTTTTTCCACCATTTTTCCCTTAGTTGTTAGACACATACTAACTGTTGCTTTTTAATTCATTTGTTTATTCATACAGATACTGTTCAAATTAAATGAAACACGAAAATCACACACTACATGCACAACAGAGAGAAAGAAAAAATTACCTCTTTTTTAAAGACAAAACAAAACACATCAAATAATTCAAGAAACAAATAATAATAATAATAATCTTAAACATGTAGAGCCGTCCTGCAGCACACAAGGTGAAAAAGGAGACCAAGGAACAACAATAACAAATCTGCTTTTTCTTCCACATTTTTTTGAAAAACAAAAGATTATATTTGTTTATGGATGTAAAAAGACGAAAAAAAAAGCGTAATCGTAACTAAAACTAGCAGATTTTCAGAAGAAAAGAGCTCGAAATGATCGAAAAACTGCAGTAACAATATCAATTTGACTTTTTCTGAGCGCACATCGCTCAATAGTCATCCCTTATTTAATTTTCTACTTCTCGACAAAAAGAAAATCTTTCCTGCTGAGTTCACCAAAATGTATGATTTTAGATCAATCAAAAACTGAGCTTTCGGTCTATTGTTCCCATAATCTGCAGTTTCTTGGTGAATGTGAAAGGCTCGGAATTGACGTTCATTTTGGATCTCTCTCTTAATATTTCTGTTTATCTACTGTTCTGTTCTACACACATCTTTCTTCACTCACTTCGTTCCTAAACAAAAGGCATACCTGAGATGCGTTAAATAAGAAAAAAAAATGGCACAATACACACAACATATTCATTTTTGTAATCACATGTTAAGGAGAGAGAACGATGTCGTTGAGCGGCAAAAAAACAAAATGTTTTCTCTGATTAAGAATACAAATATACACAACATCAACGAAGAATTAAGGCGACGAAAACAATATAATAAAGCAAAAAAAGGCAAAATTAAATCGATCACAAGAGAGAGGGAGGAGAGGCGGGAACAAAAAAACATACACGCAAAGAAAAGTTTGGCGAAGTTTTAGTATCCTGATGTGATGGCGTTATCGTGCTCTGTTTTTTCCAGCATAGCAATATCGTCATCAACGTTAATTTCTATCTCATCTTCATTTTTGTCTTTTTCAATATCTTCCTGACTCTCTCCAATAAATAGTTCTTGACTTTTTTCCTCTAAATCGTCATCATCAACATTTTCACAGCTGTCTTGATCTTCTTCTTCCATTTGCTTTTTTTGTTGTTCTTTCAATGAATCAACAATGTCATCTAATTTTTTATGCTGTTGTTTTTTCGTTTCTTTTTCTTTGAGTTGATCATGTTCTTCTTGTGTTGGAACCGGCAGTAGTGGCGCAGGTGGTGGTGAGCTTGTTTCAACTACTTGTAATGCATCAGTACAACAAAAACATTTTTTATAATATTGTGATTGTTGTTGCTGTTGCTCAGAAGGCGAATATAAAGATGAATTTGAACTCGAACTTGTTGAATCACTATCATCTTGATGATGTTCATGTCTGTGATGACCATTTGTTGTTCCCAGTAGTAATCCCAAACGTGATGATAACGATGAATAGTTGCCTGCCGTCGTTACAGGTGAACTAGAGTTAGAATTTGAGCTGTGAGAGGATGAATAACATTTTGATCCTGTTGATGTTACTGATGAAGATGTTGTTGTGTCTTTAATGTGTGGAGAATTTGTCTTACTACTATGATGACGATGTTTCACTGTATGATTAGATAACTTTTTTGCTGATGTTGTGTATAAATCAATGGACGGATCATGATGAGCTCTTTTTGGTGGCGATGATAATGTCAGTAATTGGTCCATACGATGTTTTAATGAAAAATTTTCTTGATCAAGTTTTTGTAATTTTATACGTAAATTATCATTCTCATGTTGCAATGAATTTTGACGCTAGAATGATGGAGCAAAACACAGGTATACAGTTGTTAAGTTTATTAAAGTCTCATACATAATGATATTATTTGTGTTGAAAGCACAATACATTTAATGTTCATGGTTACTTGTAAGTTTAACTAACCGCTAACCAGAGTTTACAGTCCGTTGCTCTCTCTAGTACAGAGTCTTATAAAACATTCATCAGTTGGGCATTCAACGGCGTTTGAAATTAAACAGTATGATCTGTTATCTGTTCTCAGTCTTCATCAATTTCTCCAGCTATAAAATATTCTTATTTATTCATTTCTATTTGCACTTTGTTCGTAGCTAACTATTATAATTGTCAAACAAATCGGATAAATGTCCTTAATTTGACATTTTTATTTTTATATTTCTACATGATAGTGCATTTTTTACCCATTTAGTATTTTTCAATAAGAAAAAGAAATGAGTCTTTATCACTAAATCAAATTAACCAGAAATAAAACTGCTGTCACCGTACGAAAACAATAGAATTTACTCATAACATTTTTCCTTGTTAAAAACGAATCCCAAAGAGGCGTCATTTTTCTGGAAATAAATGAAACTTCAATAAAGCTTTTCTCGATCAATAGTTTTCTTGTGATAGCGGAGAATAAGCCAAGATACATCTTACAGTTTAACACACAAAATATGATTACATCATTCGTATTCGTTTGAACAGAGTGAAATAGGAGAAAACTAATTGTGATGTTCCAAATCGAGAAAATTCTCAAGATCTATAACAGTCAACAATTGTTGTTCTGGTATGAAAAATGCCACGGAAAAGGTCAACATCGACGGTCATATTGTAGCCGCGCGTGATCAACATGTAAAAAAAGTAAAATTTCAATTTTTCACCTTATCTTTCATGTCACGAGAACAATAAAAACTCCTCTTTCCGAAAATACACACAATGTATACTGATCACTCTTATGAGGTCGAAGAAAGAGGTCATAAAAAAAATAGAAAAAACAAGTTTTTGCCTGGAACTATATACTATCTCATTATTGTTTATGCTTTTTTCTTTTCTTCTGATTTTGTTTTTCATATCCGAAGTTCTGACATTAAAATAATAAATGTTTCTGAAAGAAACTCTTTACCTCATGTAATTCAACTTGTGACTGTAATGCTGTATTTAATTTAGCCTGTAATGTCAGTTGTAATTGTGATATGTAATTAATTAATTGTGTACGACTACGTTGGGTAGCAACTGTTGTCTCAACGACTTGTTTGATACCCTCCACACTAAAATCTAAATAGACAAACAAAACATAAATAGAAGGTGATTAGAAGTTTACACATTATTTACCATTAAATGAGACGGATGTCGTTGTTGATATCGATGATGTTGCTGATGAACATATGGGATCAGGTGATACGGATCGAGCAACTTTTAGAGAATATTCTTTAGTTGGCGTAGATACCGGAGAAGATAATTCAATATCTTTCTGTTTTTCATTTCGAATTCTACGAGAAAAAAACAAAAAAATGATAACATATGTCCTACAATTTTTAGATTATTCTTAATTGCATACTTATTCACATCATTGTTCAACGTTGTTCTAACAATAAGATCGTTATGCACATTTGAAGGATTAATTAATGTTGGTCTAAAATAAAGAAATAAAATATCATTAAAAAAACTTTTTTCATATAGAATATAAACTGTTTGTTACCTGGGTAATCCAAATGGAGGATATTCTTCTGATTTATTCTGACTACTGTTATCTTGTCCTTTTTTAATTAAATTATGACCGAATAATACAGATGCATTTGAAACTGCCGCTGTATTTCCAGACCAATCTGGCAATAATTTAAGACGTTTTTCACTTGGATTTGTCGAAGTTACACATTCCTGAATAATAAACAAAATAAAAACATATTAGAAATGAATAATGTGAGAGTTTTTCTGCATAAGTCATAATGCAACGTACGATAATTTCATTACCATCTTATCAAATGGGAAAAAAGCACTACAAGACAAATGTACCCATTCTGGAATGATATTTCATTTTTTAGAAGTCGAGCTTAGCCCGTATGAAGATCAAGATTTAGACTAAAACTGAAAAAATTTCTTATGGTAGTCCACTATTCTAGAGTGGTATACCGCCATTCCGAGATGTATTTTTTATCCCTTGATCTTGTCTTACATTAGGTGTTGCTTCCTGATTATGCTCTATATAGAAAACATTTTTACTTAGATTATTACTGTTACTAGTATTGTCCTCTCTGTACAAAAACAATTAACACAAAACAATATGACTTTTTCATCAGTAATTCAATGTGAAACAAAAAAAAGTGTCACTTGTCAATTCAAATTCATTTTTTTTTTTTATCTTCATTTTATTTTTAATTGATTTTTGAGAAATTAACATGATATTATTAATTTCGAATTATATCATTGAGTTTGAGGCGTAAATAAGTAGTTTTCAAAATATTTTGTAGATTTTTCTAATAATTACAGATTTTTTCTCTTCTAATATTGTGTCTAGCTAAGAACAAGTGTTGATCGTCAGTGATTATATTTTAAAAAATGAGTTGTTGATAGTATGTTCAAAACGAATGCCATTGTATCATCATGAGAATTATTTACAATTTTATTATTTATTATTATTATTATTATAGATTCTTATGTAATTCTAACTACAAATAGTATTTGTGAAAAGAATATATGAAGGAAAAAAAAAAAAAAAGAACGAAAAAACGTTATTCGATTTTATGTTCATCATCGAGAATGCAAGACGTCAAGTATTTATTATTATTATTATTATTATTATACAAAAGGATAGAAAATGAAGAAGAGAATAGAGGCAATACATATCGAGAACTATCACATATACATATTCTCTTTTTAATATTAATAGGCAAAAGAGATAAATAAAATAAAACCTATTACATGACAAGACCATTGGCCGGACGATAATAAGAATACATTTAACATACAGATATTTACCAATCATGTCAAGGACAAGATTTTCATATATTATATAATTTGATCTATTTGCATATAGGCTTATATAAGTAACAGCAATATACAATGAACGGAGACTAACAAACGGATAATATTTAGTCAAAATAGAAAAGAAAATAATAGTATCCTAGAAATAAAGTCAAATAATTTAAAATTACTTTTTATATGTTATTTCTTTCGAGTAAATCTCATATTCAAATTGCACAATGTTTTATATATTTATTGTCACTCAATTCAATTTTAGAACATTTTACTTGTATGTTATGTTGTTTAGATTGCTTAAAATCAAAATAGAACCTTTTAAAAAGTAAAAAGTTCTCTTGACACTGAAGCCTATGAAAACGTTTTTTTTTTTAACTTGAAAAAAAAAAACAGAAAAAAAAATTTATTTATTTATCAATGATATTTACGGTCTGTCTACCTTGAAATTAATCTTTATCTTGGAATTAAAAGTTATTATTATTAATAATTATTCATTTTTTTCTCGAACAATACAACTTTTTGCATTATTATTATATGTGATAGACTGTCATAAAAATTTCCTTTCAGAAAGTTACAATTTTTAATTTTGTATCAGTTATATTCTTTTTCATCAACAAAAAAAAATATATATAACATTATTTATGAACGCACAAAACGTTCAACTTTTTTTCTATTTCTTTAACAACAAAATTCAATATTTGTATTATAAAAATTTCTTCTTTTTTGTTTTTTTATTCTTTTTCACACTGGTACACATTTTTATAGATAATTTATTTAAGATGGATGAATGTAATAGACTTTCATCAAATTTTATACTAGAAAAATATAATGAAAATTGTCATTCTTCTAAAGCGGGATAAAGACGAAGAAAAGTAAAAACTATCTCACATATGATCAGTCATTCTAGAAAATCTCGCTATTAAACACAATAATTAAAATAAAAATATATTCTTCTCGCCAGTACTAACAAGTTCGACGCTATATAATCTTCTTTTTTTTTTAAGACAAGAATCTCTCTTGTAGTCAGTCAATACATAAGATGTTTAGAAACAAATAATAGAAAACTACATTCTTCTCTCTATACGTTTTAATTAAAAGACATCAAAATCTCATATTTATATTAAAGAGCGAAAACAAGAATAAGAGCTCAGTTTGTTTTTTCTATCAATACTGTTATTGTTTTGGTATTTATTTTAATCGTAAAAGAGAGAAAAACAAATCATCAATAAAAAAAACATCTGTGCTCTGTATATGCTTGTAAAATAGTGGCGGTCTTGGAATATATATATTTTTTTTTTTTGGTCGAGGAGAAACAGACCAAAAAAAAACATATTTTTCAACAAATTCGATCCTCCTAGTATAGGTACAACTAAACGTATCACAGATGTTTTATCAATTTGAATAACATGCAATTTTTTTCAGCATATGTATTATTTTATGCCATGTTACTCAACAAGTATAGACTTTTAAACATTTTTAAATTTTTATCTGTATAATGTTTCATATTCTTAATCAAAACATACATACAACAAGTGAAAGAGTAAAAACAAAGTGGTGTTTTGTACTCTTTGTCAAAAAATATAAGTGATTTGATACAATCCATTATGTAAAAAAAAAAATCCTAAGAAAGATTATTATAAAGAAAAGAAAAACAACAACTTACGGACAATGGTCGTTTTTTCCCAGCAATAAATTTTTCTTTAAATAATTCTAATTCTTCTCTAGCTTTATTATCTTCTGTTGAACGAATTTTTAAATATGATCGCCAATTATCCGAATTAAAACCCCAATGACATATACGATTTTCTTCGGATTTATGACCATGTGAAACAAATGTTTTAGGTGAAAATATTGCTTGACATGTGTCACATTGTATGCATTCAGCTTGTGGACTAACATATAATGTTGGATATAGTAAACCACAACATTTACCAAAACATTTATGTTGAACTTTAACTAAAATAAACAATATTTAATAAAAAAAACTGAAAAAATGATTAATCTGATTTTTGTAATTAATATAAATTTGAAACTAATTCTTTGTTCACATGTACATACTTGAATATAATCTTTCAAATTGATTTGACCATAAATGACCTTTAAATCGTTGTTGTAATAATATTGCACATAATCTTTCAGCATCTGTTTGTGTTATAAGTCCGCATGATGGTGCATTTAATGGTAAAACTTGTGTAATTTTTAAAATATCTAATTGATCATTTGTACATCGTGAACAATAAATATGAAGTTTTTCACAAGCTGAATTAATTTCTTGTAATGAAAAATCTTTTAATACCGTATTTAATATTTCAGGTAAACATAAACGTTTTTCACCACCAACAATAAAACATGTAATACGTTCACCTATAACAAAAAAAAAAATGAATGAATAAAACTTTTTTTTTTACAATAAAAAATTAGACACATGACTATGATAGAAGAAAAAATTCTAGACATACGTTATAATCTTAAGGTTAAAGTTTTACTCTAACTTAGACCTAAGGAAACTTACGGACACATAAATTGAAGCACCACATACTGTATGTAGCCATGTTGTGACAGATTAACCTCTCATAAATATTTCTAGGTCAAAATATTTTTAAACGGACAATATCTAGTGTGCACATGTATAGTTCAACAATTTCATTTTGTTATCATTTTTTCACACGCGATGTATTGTACTTTGTTAAATAATCTTCAGACCCTTATCTTTCGTGTTATTTTTTTTTTTCATTTTACGTGCATTTTTTTACCGTGTACTCAGTATTTGACATTTTTCGATGACACAGAAAAAAGCTAAAAAAAAATAAAATGACGTCTACCATCGAACCATTCTTATCTTTACAATATAGAATGTGCCAAAATCCTTGACCATTTGAAGAAGAAAAAAAACACACATATTTTGTCTAGTATTTATTTAAATTTGAGGTTTAGCAACGAACAAATGTTATGCTACATTGAACGATCTTCGTCTTCTTTTTTTTTTGTTTCTTGAAATTTCATCAACAAAAAAAATGGTGACCAAAGAGATTTCTTTTTTATTAATTTTTTGTTTTATGTTAACACGACAGGAAGATGTTAACGACAAGATATTTTTTCTGACTGTGAATGTGCAAATGATGTTATTACTATACATAATTTTATCTACTTCGAAATAAAAATGTCATATTTCTTCTTCATTAAATTTTACCACCAACTTACATTGTTCATCATTAAACAATCAGTAAAATAAGATTTTTTGATTAATAACTAGTCAAATTACCAACCAACGCAAACTATTGCGTATATTTATTATTTTCTTTTCTTCTTCTTTCTTTATATTCTGAATGGATAAATTAGAAATGATAATTTGAGTGCCATAACTATTCGACCAGACACTTTTTTCTTCTTTCTTTCATCGTCATGTCAATCAACCAAAAAAACATATTTACAATGCCACAGCAATAAGAAATAAGAACTAAAAATAGAACCTTACATTTCTAAAGGGAATAAAATACTGTCTGCTTAGTAAAATTGTCTGTAAAATGACTATTCCAATGACAGTAGACTAATATTAAATTGTTTACACATAGATATTTTCATAATTGAGACGTTTTTTTTTGTTTTTTTTTCTTCTTCTTCTTCATCTGATTATTCTATAATTTTGGTATGAGAAGTTATTCTATTTTACTTATAGAATTTTCATTGAATTCTTCTTCATCTCATTTTTGGGAGAAACATAGATAAAAATATTTATAGTATGACGTGTAAAAAAAAAACACGTGAGAAAGAGTTTAACAAACAGAATAATAGATAATTGATCAAGGGTTGTCAAAGAAAATTTTTTTTTTCTTTTTTCGTTTCAAAGATAATAAAAAAGAGAAACAATGAGTTACCATATATGAGTAGTTTTGCACAAACCGATTCGAACATCTTTGTTTATTTTGTAGTAATTGATATCTCTACTCTAAAATCTTTTCTGTTTTTTTTTTGTTGCTTTGTCCAGTATATAGCAAAAAAAGTGAAATTTATTACGTAATAGATGGAAGAAGAAGAATGACGTTTTTTTTTTTTCTTCTTTTCGTAACTGTTTGCTTCAATGAAACGAGACTCGACCAACAAAAACATACAGAAAAATGAATGCAAATTTTCCTCGATGTTTATAAGAAGAACAAAAAAAAGAATGGTAAATAGTCACTTTTATCAGATAAGCTAACATAGGAATCAGACAATATGGAATATTTTTAACAGTGACGCAAAAGTTTCTATTTATTTAGCTTTAAACACAGGTATTGCGTATTGAATATTTTTTAAACAAGTGACTAATCAATTGTCATATGCACACACACACACACACACACAAGTATATTTTACTATAATTGTAAATTATATTATTCTAATTGACACACTATGCTTGGAATCCTACTTTTGAACCTACATAAATACGATTGCAAACAGATCTACTCTAGTTTATGCGCATGAATGCCTCTGATAATAAACGACATAAATCAATAGTATTACGCAAAAAAAAGAAATTGTACCATCATGTGTTCATCATTAGAACGTATCGAAAAGATTTCTTTCTCTTGCTTCTTGTCAGGTGATGCAATATCAGCTTTATAATCATACAATTGATGATCATCTGTCGCATCTAAATGCACGACAGGATGTTGATATAAAAATCTCATATGTTATCATGCATAAAGATAGGAAAAGAATATGAAAAGAGTTTCCAATTCTATGCGATAAGAGTTAGCTAAACAATTTAACAATTTTCGATACTATTGTCATCTTTCGATCTTTCTTATATGTTCATGTTATTGTACGTTTTGAAATTCAGTAAAACAAAACAGTACTCTTATGGTATTATGGCTGACGTCTATACATTACTCTTTTTACAAGAAAAAAACATAAACTTAGATAGCATAAACATTCCTCAATCAAACTTGAGGGTGTAAAATGTAGTTACTCACTATCACAAAGAGTTAAAGTATCGTTTATTTAAAAAAATGTCTAAAATATATAAAAATATCAAACTCTACTGGTAATATTTCACCTCCGTTTTTGGTCACGAAAAATTATCAGTCCTGGAGGCTACAAAGTGGCTCACTTTTCGATCACGCCTCAAAAAAGATACATCCTAATTAATATATATTACCGAAACTCATACGTACTTTGGATGTTGCCTCTGATGTTATTTGATGTTACAAAGCTAATTAGGATGGATTTATATCTTCTTTTGAGAAGATACGCTACTTTTCTAAGTATATCTGCTGACAAAAATCGAGAGTAAACTATTAGCGTGTATATACCACAAGGTAACTCAAATCAAACATGAAATCTTCTATTGACAAGTAAATTAAATAGAACACCGTACATTTTTATACTTTAGTTTATATTGGTTACAAAATTAACACCGTTTTACAATCACCAAAAATGTTCAGATTCTGTTACGAAAAAATTCATAACTCCATTCAGACTCGAAATTCTCAGAAAATATTTGTACATATTTACAAAAAATTTGTTGGACAGAGTACAACAGAATTGTGAAGCTGACAGTCATCTTTACAGTTACAAGTTCAAGGTTATAACTTTATTCAATTCAAGATCCGAAGATCTTCAGGATCGAAAACTAGAAAATAAATTTTATAAGCTACGCTAATCACCGTTAGGATTAATTCATCATTCGATTAAGACACTTACGACACCTGTGGCTTACGGTCACATCAGATTGAATGCATCAGTTCTCTTAACTAATGTATTCCATCACCTACAGAGATTAGAGGAACATTTTATAAAGATTTGTTAGGTTAGACGAAGGCGTCAAATACCATTGCTGAAAAATTTAATAATCTGGATATAGAAAATACGATCGTAGTTTGAGAGAGAAAATGTATCTTTGCAAGTTGACATCATACTGCTCATATTTCTTTGTGTTGCTTTTCAAGATGGAAAAGAAACGCCTATGTGACATATAGTAAACACTTAACAAATGACGTTTTAAGTATTTATATACAGGTAAAAATCTAAAGGTAAATCTTGTATCTGTTCGATCAACAATCCTCTACTGTATACTCTCTCTAAGATGCTATAATTTATTGCCGGAAACAATGTAAACTATTTCTAAGCGAGAAGTTGCGTAGAGCATGCATTCAATTGCTCACTACAAAAGCTAAAGGGGAGAACGAGACAAATATTTAAAATAAGATTAGAATGACGATTCTTTAGATGAATTAACCGTGTGTAACCGAGCAACTGATTTAAACACAATGACATTCATGTAGAATTCTGAAAATCACATGTACAGTCTAACTAAGAATGATTCCGTTTTCTGGCACATTTATTCATCTACACATGCATCTAGATATATCATATAAGGCCAAGAAAAAAAGTCAGTATTTTTCTTGAGAACGTAAAATATTAAAATTAAACATACCGCATAGCGTTGTGTCACTTTTTTCTCCTGATTTATCTGCTGGTATACATGATGGTCCTTGGATCACAGCACCAAGTGGAGGCTGCAACCATTGATCCCACGTCTCTTTTGTTGTGCCATTTTTCAAGCTTTTCGTACAATAATCTTCCCAATTACCATTTGTTGTTGCTATTTTAGCCATAGAATTCGTTGAAGTTATTGAGTTTGTATTTGATGTTGTCGAAGGTAATTTTGTTGATAAAGAATTATTTCTTGAACCTAATGATGATTGATAATGAGAAATATAATCCAAGGAAGATTTTGTAACAGCAACATTTGGAGGTAAAGTATTTGAGTTTGATGAATTGTGAGTTGTTGTTACGTTTCCCGACGATACATGAGTATTGTGATTATGATTATAATAAGACTGAGCGAGTGCGTGTTGTAAAATTAACTCATTTGTTGCTATTGATGACGAATAAGGACTCGAAGCTTTTGACGATAGATGGCAATGCCTTAACATTTTAAATACATAAGGATCGAATGAAGGTGGTCCCGTGATACAACCGTTTACGGGTGCCTGAGATGTTGTCGTTGTCATTATATTAAATATTTATAACAAAAACAATAAATTCTACAATATGAACAAAAACATAAAAGAGATCAAATGACTTGCACATAAGTTGAATAATAACAATATGTTTCAGAATATCAAGATATTATTTTAAAAAAAGCAGATCGATATGAAGACTTTATACCACACAAGAAAAGAAAAAAAAAACAGAATGACTACTAGACGCTCGCATATAAACTACCCGAGACATCATTCTATTATACAAAAAATGTAATCAAGAGAGAAAAAAGAATACAAGAGAAAAGAAAAGGGGAGAAAGAAATATATAAAATGCCCCAAAAATATAAACTACAATCCTAAAGGAAAGTTGAAGTTTGCTCTATGTGAGAATGAGACAGAACACACCCACGGGTCTAATGAACAGAACAAATTTTCTCATTTTTTTCTGTTGAGAGAAAGAGAAAAGAAAGCAAGCCTAGCTACTGTATATAACTACATTTTAACATATAGATTGAGCTTAGATATAGTCTATGTAAGGGCGAGAGCAAGAGAGAATGAGATAAGAGTTGTGTCGTAGTCGTCGGACAACTATATAACTATACGTCGGACTTTCTCTTCTCTATTCTTGTATAATTTGAACGAAAAAGGATTACGTGAGGTTTTTTTTCTCTTTTTTTCTGTTTGAACGCGCAGAAAAAAATGTATGTAGAAGTAGATATGTAAATTGAACAACATACAACTAGGATAAGAGTTGAACTTCGTATAGTGTACAATAGTGTGTATACGTTCATATTCATGAAGCAGAAAAAAAAAACGATGAAAATATGCGCGTAGAGGTGAAGGTTAAAGTTGTGCAAAGTAACCGCTTACACAGCTAAGATGTGTGCTTAAAAAAAAGATAGATCATTTTGAAAAGCATCACTTATCGACTAGTCAATTAAAATCTAAGTTTTTACAGCAAAACATTACACACGATATCTTGTAAGATCTCGTTTACTACAAAATTTTCAAGTTTTTTAATTCTTCTAAAGTTCAAACTCTCTATGTAAACCATTATTTCATTGTAGTTCTGTCTAGATGCGGATACAAAGTTTAAAGATCCGATACAATATATCTCTATACAAAGTACAAAGTTTATATTAGACAATATGCTACATATAATCAACCATCGTTAGAAAAACTAATTTAACAAAGAAAATCTTTGACATTATTTCCTAAAAAAACATATTAACTATTCTCCTTAATACAAAAAAAAATAAAAACTATCGTATAGTGGCAGACGTAATTAAAAAAATTGAAAATGAAATGTGTTTTATTTTAATAATTAAACACTACTGAGTAAGCATGTTCGACCTGATCACAAACATTGAGCACATTACTCAAGCTGGAGTACAATACGAATTAAATAATCACATTACTTTAATAGTGTATTTCTCCCGTTTTAATCCAGAAAAACTTTTTGTCGGGGTACAAAGATCGGCAAATGTATAAACATGATGTATTCTGTATAATACATCGGAGAAGTAATGCACTTACGCCTAAGAGATGAAGCAAACCAAAAACATACTGAGTGGTAACAATATGTCAGTCGTATAAATACTTCTTGTTCTTTTTCCAAACATCACCTTCTCTTTTTCAAAGACAATGACGAGATAATGTTGTCTAGAAAACTTCAACATCTTTCTGAATTATTAGAGAATATATATTCTTCAGACATCTGTGCCGATCAAGAATTTTTAGCAGCAACAAACATACCCAAAAGGTTCTGCTCTCTTCGGTGATACCACTTACTTTCAGTGATCGTGAACAGCAAAAACGCAATTTGATATTGGGATTTGTTGGGCTTCAGACAGTGCACTTGTTTACTTGTTTTCTTTTCTATGAATATTTTGTACGTCAACTCAGTACGTTCTCTTCTACTTTTACGACATAAAATAGAAGCCAAAGTAAAATGTCAAGAACCCAAAACAAAAATTGGCGTAGCAAAGAAACATGCTACTTCTAGTAGAATCCTGTAATCATTTACTATACCGTTATCTAGTAGTCTACTACATTGAATTCAATACGGTGTGATGGTGACATTTTAAAAACTTTGGGAAGAAATCGTTAGCGATCGACATGTGACCTGCACAGATGTTCATATGAGGGAATGGTAGACGCTTTTGAGATCTTCAAAAGAGACATGTGCTAAAACAAAGTATTTTGTTCATCCTGACTTTTATTTATATTTATAAACCTCTTTTTTTGTTATATGCTATTTTTCATACGTGACACGGATATTATGGTTGAACTACTATCCATTTGACACTAGAGTGGATGCAAATGTTTTTTTACTGTTAATCGTTCAAAAAAGAGCCAATGAAAGATTAAATAGTAGCTGGCGCTCTTGTATAATACAGTGAAGTCTTTACCACCAGACAGTATCTTTCTTTCCGTAAAACTAGATTTATATTACTTTAAAAACAGCAGATTTTCATAAATGTTGACATTGTGTTCGTGAGTCAAAGTACGGTCTAGTAAACGTACAGTCGCCATCTTGGCTCGATTATCTGTAATAATTCGACAGACATAAGTCAAAATATAATGTCGTTTTCCTTTATAACTATAGATATATATAAAAAGCTTCCTTGATCAATGTATTCATACTCATTCACCTTTTTGTTTTGCACAGATGTAATGTAGCTATATACGATAGATTTCACTATAGAAATTTAGAAATTTTTGTCATAATCAGAGATACGCTCGTCTAGAATCGGACTGATAACCACACTCTGAGTATCTGACGATATTTCCTTTAAAATAAAAAAATGTTCAAAAAATACTTATGAGTACTATGTAAAATCTTATTTTGAATATGCATTAAGTTCTCTTATGGGTATGCATTAAAGTATTTAGTGAGTAAAAAATTATGCATCAGTACTCATGATTACGCAGTACATTTTTCTATATGAGTACACCTCTGAGTACTCATGCTTGAGTACGTACATTCATTAGGGTTATTATTAATTAGTTATAAAATGACCTTAAATTTGGTCCCGATATGATAGATGTACTACTCTTACAGAATATGAGCAAGACAAATATTTATTCTAATATTCTACAACGTAAACTATCGATAAACACAAAATAAATCTTATTTTGTATGACTAGAGACACGACTTATCTTTTTACTACGCAAAACAACACAAAAAAAAGAAACATCATCAGATACATGCACTCAAAGCTCTACAGGTTAAAAGAGTTCTTTCACACTAAGTATATATATAATCAGTTATATATGATCAATACATATCACATGTAAAAACTAGCTTGTCTTAGCATTATGGTACGGTTATTGAAAGTCAGAAGTGCAGAATAGAACAAGAAAAAGAGAACAAGACATATAACAGTATAAAAAGAAAAATGCATATAACATGTATGTTATATCGCGTAGTTTGTGGTGAGTGGAGGCCATCTTGTACAGTTAACTGGGTGGAGAACGACTATATTCTAGACGCTAAAGTGGTGAAAGAGAAAGGAGTAGAGACACACATACCTAGCATAAAATTTGCTTTCATAAATCGACTAAACAAAATATAAGGCATGATGTTTCTCATGAAAGCAAAGCAGAGAAAACAGCTATTTTATTAATACTAAATAAAAAAAAAGAAACAGAGCATGTAATTATCTTTTTTGAAATAGTAGTTTCCAAAAAAAATGAGACATTTTTTTTTTTAAAATTTAAGAATATTTATTTGTTCTGGAAGTCCACAATAATAATCGAACGATATTGATGACGCCCACTCTTACATCTATATTATATTAAACTGTTTAAATGACCTCTCTCTTTTATTTCGCCCGTGAACAAAAGCCGAAAAAAACAAAAAAAGCGGATGCATGAAAAAAGTAGAGAAAATATAAAAGAAATTTGAAATGTAATGACATGGTTTAAAAATACAAAAAGAAGGAATCGTACGCAGTGAAACACAGACGTCATTAGATTACATGATATTTACTAAGGGTGCTTAATCATTAGACAGTGTCATGGCATGTCTACATACAATATATATATTTTTTATTAACCACGTAAACGTCAGAACAGAATAAAAAAAATAAAAATTATTTTTTAGTTTTTTTTGTAATAAATAGAGCAAGAAAAAACGAAGGTTTTCAAGATAAAAAGAAAACTTACTGCTTATATTTTTTTCATCTACCTGACAGAAACAATGTTGTTTTCTCTTTAAATGTCTAAGTCATAGCTATAAAATTCATCATCTATTAATAATGTGTCGAGCATAAAATACAAAAAAAAAATATCAGCTTTTTTTTCTTTCTGATTTTTTTGTCTAGCCTACTCGGCTCATAAACAAGCATCAAGGGCATTTTTATTCTTTCATAATTTATCTTATGATACGATGTACTCACTATATAGACATATATTATTGCAAAAAAACAGAAAAGAAAATTCTCGTGCATTCTCATATAGGACAAACACCTTTTACGTTTTGATTTTGAGAAATATATAATACAGGTCACCGTCAAAAACAAAAATAATAAATTTATTCTTTTTATGCACAAATAATACATTACTTTTTAGTATTCAAAAAAAGTAATGATAGATGCATATCTTTTTTTTCAATGTATTATTGACTTATTTTTTGCCTATTCATGTAATGCGTGACGCATGTATTCAGAGTAGCATCGCATATTCAACTCTTGATAATGTGTTTATTCGCATCATGAAGGGTAAAAGGAAAGGAGTAAGATTTCACTAAAAAACTAGATAATCAGAACAAAGAACTCATTATAATAATTTTTTACTATTTCTGAAAATCAGCGCAGTGATAGATAGCGATTGTAACTGTGAATATAATAATTTTCACGTCCAGCCTAACCTCGCCTTAAAAATCATATGTAGTCGCGTACAAGTCTAGGCATAGCAAGTTGAATTACAATTTTTATCTATTCAAGTTAATTGCAGCACTCAGGTCATGGCAATGAATCCAAGTAAACTTTCTTGGTTTATTCTTAGCGTAATGACGGTTGTT